ATTAACTAGTACATGTATTTATTAACTATCATATGTGTTTATTAACTATTACATGTATTTATTAACCATCATACGTGTTTATTAACTAGTACATGTATTTATTAACTATCATATGTATTTATTAACTATTACATGTATTTATTAACAATCATATGTTTTTATCAACTATTACATGTATTGATTAACAATCATATGTTTTTATCAACTATTACATGTATTTATTAACAATCATATGTTTTTATCAACTATTACATGTATTGATTAACAATCATATGTATTTATTAACTATTACATGTATTGATTAACAATCATATGTTTTTATCAACTAGTACATGTATTTATTAACAATCATATGTTTTTATCAACTATTACATGTATTTATTAACAATCATAATTATTTATTAACAATCATAATTATTTATTAACAATCATATGTTTTTATCAACTATTACATGTATTTATTAACCATCATATGTATTTATCAACTATTACATGTATTTATTAACTATTACATGTATTTATTAACAATCATAATTATTTATTAACAATCATATGTATTTCAGGAACTGTTGAATACTAACGATATTAAATTTATCTAATTTTATTTAATATATTTAATTAATCACTCTTAAGTGCTTTTCTCATAAATTAGATAATACTGATCACTCATGTATATATAATTATTCAATGTACAAAAACTAATGCTAACTTTTCTTGGGAAAAATTTCTATTTATAAGCCTAGAAAATACTTTTAGTAAGAGCAATTCAGGCTTACAACGAGCTAAGCCTATGTCTTTCTTAAAGCAATGAAGGTTTTTTATGATTAACTAACTTGGAGACATTTCCAGTTATTTTATTCATATCTAAAAATAATAATCAGAACACTAATTAACTAACTACAAACAGTTAATGTCAACTTCAATATTGATTTTTCAATAACGTGAAATATCGAACTTACTGAATTATTTGCTGTGCATTTACTTTGGGATCATAAATGGATAAGTGGGCTCCTTCTTCTAAAAGATGTTTACATACGTAAATTGCAGCAGACTCTCTAGATGTAATATATACAGTTTTCATTATTTAAGAAAATTATTACAGCTTGTTTATTGGAGCTTTAGTTTTTGTCTGTGTATCCAGATAAATGGATATTTATATTTAATAGATATTTACGTATGTACAATCACATTTCTAAACACAAAAGATCTTAATTAAAGAATAAGGCCTTCAAATATTCATTCTCACTCAACATTCAGTCAGAAAAAAAAGTTACATTATGAGAATATTTAGTGAAAAGTCACTTGAAGTCTCTCAACATGGGCTTAGTTGATTTGACTGACCACGTGACCTGTTTGTACTTGTTTAAAGTCTTTATAAATTTGATACTACTAACTTTTAATATAGTATGTAAATCTTCACAAAATTTGGCACACTTTCAGTAAACATTACAAGTCTTTCACATACAAAAAATCATATTTTTCAGTAAAGTATTTTTAATAAACTAAAACAAGATTTGTCCATGAATACATTGAGTATTTTTTTTACTAGTCCAAGTACAAAGATTAATGTTAAGATTAAAAATACCTTTCTTCATCTCAAAAATCTCAAATTTCATTTGCATAATCTCTAAAACCTCTTAAGTACATTTCAAATGTTTGTTTTTAATAAAACTTTTTATTTTGTCTGTTATTTTCTCTACCCTAACTCTATAGATGGTTGATCAAATTGACCTACCTCGTAACCACCAAAAAAATAAATAAATAAATCTAAATTACCTCTTTTTTTCTTTCCAATATGATTTCAAATTGTAACATGAAACAACATTTGTTTATCTTAAATATCTTTAAATTCATAACAGTGTTACGCCTCTGGTCGTTAGTTAATTTTTCGTAAAAATTCTTTAGGAAGAAACTTTACCGATACAAGTCCTTTCTTAAGTAAAACTGGTTTATTCTTTCTGAATACAACTTTACGATACGCTTAATTTCAACAGTCGCGCTATAACAAACACTATAATTCACTACGAACTTCTCACATGCTCAACAATATTCTGTCCGCATACATTCAATTACTAATGACATTGCCTCCGTCACGTTGTGACCGTCTTATACATAAAAGAATACCGAGATCTAGTAAACTCCTGATATTTCATGAAGGTTCGAGAAGGAAGTGGCGTGATACGAGCGTCACGTGACCTGCGTTGTTGTAACAACAGTATACTTAAACTTTATTGTTTTATTGCCCTTTGAACTGTGTCTAATTACTACTATTCATACCATTATAAGTTGTAAATCACTTGGGGAACATGGAACTCACATTAAACTATCGAATTATATTACCCACGAGCTACTCTGAGCTGCTCGCGTGCATGCCTCGTGACACATTATTATTATTATATTGTTATTATTTATTTTATCTAAATATCCTTAAATATCCTAAAGAGATTCATATTTTAACATTTTAGTTACTTTTATAATTATAAATAAAGGATAAGCATGAAAAACAAGAAATAAAGTACTTACCCAGGTCTTCTCTTTTTTTGCTGTCAACTAACCCTACTTTTTTTTATACCAAAGGTATTAATGTACTAAATAATTTTTATTTAATTAAATAATGGACCAAAGAACATAGAATAATAACATGCAAAAAGCAGACAATTTCCCCTACCTATCACAATTTTTTCTGGCTTTCTAACTATGCGACAAAAGCTGTTACAAGTTCATCCAAGCTAGTCATTGTCTTTCCCATGGGAACGAAGTTTGTACTAACATAGAAATTGACAATTCTCATTCAGAAAACAACGTAATATAATATGTCATTTGATAGATGAAAACCTTGGCTTTCTATTGGTTATACATAATACAGAATTAAACATAAGAGAGAACTATTAACAAATCCTGAAAGAGAGGATGTGACAAGACAGGTCTGATTTTTTATTTGATAGCTCTGTAACAAAACAAAATTGAAGGCTATAAACAATTGTGGTTTGTCTGAGTAATAAAGATTTTATAGTGAGTAATTTAAGTTAAATCTTGTACTTATTGTAAGGGTGACAAATAAAATAGAGAAGAGGGGATGCCTAGAAAAAATGTCACATTTCTCACACAAGGGGAAATTCTGGATTTTTTTAAATATTACCTTATAAAATTATGAACTTAAAACTTATAACTTATTAAAATATGGTTTATTAGCTAAAATGTTATGCTGTATTAATTGGTATAACATAAACAAAAAAAGTAGTTTAATAAATTTTTAATGTAAGTCACTAAAACCTCATGACATGCACAGTAAATGATGCCCGGGCAGATAGGATTAAATATCTGTATACTTTCCAACCCTAAAAACATCAAAATGTGAACAAAACATAAGAAAGCCTTTAAGAAGAAATTCAAATAGACACAGAAACCTAACTCCTCTGCTTCATAGCAGTTTGATTCATACTATTTTCAGAAAAACAAAAAACTGGCAAAATCAGCACCAGACTCTTTCAATAAGAACCACAAAGTTTTTTATTTAAACAATAAATTGTCACATACCTTTGATTGTAATAAAAGGACAGGCATAAATGGCTGATGTCAGATTTGAATTCAAAATTTCCACAAATGCAGTGATATACAAGATAAATTGTTTACAACATGCTATATATTTACCACCAGAGATGCAGTACTAAACTTAGAAGTGACGAGTCACGACGATCTCTAGAAGAACAGCTAACTTTCAAACTAGTTATTTAATATGGCTACCATGCTTGGTAATTATTTAGAAATTCAGAATATCATAGAAGATCATTACTTGAGGTATATTGTTATAAAGCATCAAACAACTTTCAGCTAATGATAAAAATCATGCTATATTAGAGACTTGATTACAGTCCTATCAATCCACATTTGAATGTGTGTTTAAATATGTAATGACTCTCTCCTGCACGAGATGACAGATTGGCTCTCCCTCTTGACCCTACAGGACTACACCACTGCTAACATTGTAAAACAACAGCAAATAACATGAAGACCTATATGTCAACTAGCATATTATTTAAACGTTTCTTAAATACATAATAGACAAAAGTTACATATTTATTAGTAAATTCTATAATACACATCGTCTCATATAATGATAGAGGTAGGTACAAAATCATAGCTCTTTATGGCATCCAGTATGACAGAATGGGAAAGCTAATTACACTGTGCATTACATTAACATGTACTTTACAGTACTGTCCATTACTTACCTACCTCATTATTGTAGAATGGTAAATCTAATTATACTGTGCATTACATAATATCAATTAATAAATCTTAATCTTATGTATAGGCTCAACATACATTAGCTTTTTCTCTGTACTAAATGGTCGTAATAATGCTCATTACCACACCAGATTGTTGTTAGTATTAAATGGTCTTAATAGTCCTGATTACCAGACTAGACTGTGTTTTGTACTAAATGGTCTTAATAATGCTGATTATCAAACCAGACTGTTGTTAGTAACTACATGATCTTAATAATCCTGATTACCAGACTAGACTGTTGTTTGTACTAAATGGTCTTAATAATCCTGATTACCAGACTAGACTGTTGTTAGTAACTAAATAT